TTAACTTTCCATATTCATGTAGCAGGGCTAGATAGCATAACCCTGCCAATTCATTCTTCATTTTACCTACTCCTTCCTCTGCGTGTGCCCGGCTACAACGTCGGCGCTGGTCATACCGAGGTCTCGAACGAGGCCCAAGCGGCGGCGCACCGAGCGATAGATCAAGGCCACATACTTGGTTCAATAACTTAAGAAGGGGCAGATGTGTAAGTTAGGAGATGGCTATCATGAGGAGGTCCACGATGGCACGATGGCCGTTCGCTCGGGCCATGTCTAGCGCAGTCAGGTGGCGCTAAGGGGCTATAATCAAGCCGCGCGTCCAAGTTGAATGGGAGGGAGGGGAGTACCTGGTCTCGGCAAGTCACGTCAATACCAGGATGTGCCACCATGAGCCGCACAAGGTCAAGGTGGCCGCGCGCGCATGCAGCCATAAGCGCCGTCAGCCCATTCTAAGCACGTATGAATTGGTCAAGACGCCAGAGGTGGTCAAAGGGGGCTATTCACAAACATCGTCGCCTTGATTCGCATCCAGCGAGTTGTGGTCGAGCAGGAACTGCACGATCGGGATGTAGTTATGTGCGGCTGCGATGATGAACCCGGTGTTTCCCACCTGCTCGAGCCATGAGCCCGACAACAGTGTGCGCCACCACGTACACAGTTTCCCTGGTTCACAAACACGTTGGGGTGGTCCGCCAGGCGCCGAACAGCTTCGACGAGGCCATGGAGACATGCCACGTGAAACACGGTCGCGAGTTCCTAGAACCAACCGTCACATGGCACACTCGTGGCAAAATCGCGGGAACGTACGAGATTCGTGTGGTCGAGATCGAGCCGTGGATGTGCCAGGAACCGCAGCACAATCGCCTCTCGTCTTGCCCCACATGCGAGAAAGATCGCCGTATTGCCTTCCTACATGGACACACGGGTCGCATCACCCCCGCTCGACCACATCGTCCCTTGACGTTTTCAAGTTGCGCACCTCGTCTGCTTCGTTCACGTCGACGGCGGGGTCCACGAGAAGTCGGTCGACAGCAGCTTGGTTGCCAGCGAGGACGGCCACCATGAGCGGAGTGAGGTCGCGAGGAGCTGGCGGAGGGGGGGACGGTGGGGCATACGGCGTAGCCATCGAGTAGTGTGTGATGATCATGGGCGGTGCTACCAGCGCCCGAACTGCTTGGCACATGGCTAAAACTCGAATGCGCCGCACAGTCGCGACTCCTCTGCAGAGACACTGCGGGGCATCCCCTCGCGGTGGGGTTTGACTTGATGTCAGACGGATGACACAGTATTCTTTTCACCAGTGGATTTCCCATACAAATATTCATATAATCCCACTACGACGACGAGGGATTATATGAAAAAATGCTCGCACGTCGTGGGGGGCTCGCGGGCAGTACGACCCCATCGAGTTGTGCAGGACATGATGCGTGCGTGCCGAAGCATCCAATACAGCACTGTGCTAACAAGGCTGACCACAGTAGGCGATTGTATCGGCTAGGGCTGATGCAGGGTGGCCAGCATCAACTGTCTAAGCGGCGGGGGTGCGGCTGTGAGAGGTCGGAAAGACTAGCCGTGGAATTCCATGTGCAACGAAGGCAAGCCTATGTGGGGAATGTATTCCAGCCGTCGTCGTCATGGACATGAAAACATCTCGACGTCACATGGCGCTTGACCTTGTCCACCCCCTTCTAAATGGATGGTGGAGCGATCGGGGCCGTTTGGACAATATGGCGACATGCCATGCGCCACATGCTTCCCCCAGCGTCGTAAATGTCCCGGCAAGCCACTCGTGGACGTGCATCCGCCTATGGGGTCCCCCCCCCGCACAGACATGCCCCGGCTATGATGGCTTCCCGACCAAAGTGGGATGTGTTTGTTCGCTTGAGCGCAGCATAAGGCACTGTACATGACCGTGCCGTCGACTGGACGACGACGTTGCCGCCGCAATTGCGCCAGAAATAGAGTTGAATGAGCTCTGAGCGGAGACCGCGACGTTGTCGTGATGACTTCATCAAGCAGCGTGGGGGCTGCGTAATCCGCCAAGCACACGCGACCCGCTCGCGTCAAAAAGCGCACTCGCGGCAACCCGTGTCCGCACCTGATCCGAACCAGCAATGTGGACATTGTGGTGGGGCTGTGGGGTCCCATGGAAATTCGCCCTCGCGCGATCAACTCGACGGCAACAGGCCGATTCTTTGCTTGGGATGCAGGGGCTTGTTGATGAGCTTCTTCGGCTCGGGCCCTGCGGGTACTGGGCGGGAGGGGGGGAGCGTGGAAAGCCCCTGCCCCCAAACGAACACTGCAAGGTACTCCACAGGCCGAAGGGGGAACAGCATGGAACGAATGGGGACACGATGTTGTCGACTGCGTGAGGGGAATTCACCACGGTTTGCCTCGTGAATGCAACTGCGGTGGTGCGCAGTCGGACCGAGATGGCGGCAACCACAACCACGCCTCACTCTCTCCCCTATGCCGACTCCCCCTGGTACCTTTCGACTTGATGCGAATGCAATGGCGATCGCATGGACGTAAATCGGAACGCACTACGTTAGAGCTCAACATGGCGACATCGTCCAAGATGCACCCAGCTCGAGAGTGCGATGGTGACTGTCCAACACATCCACCTCGTGCAGTCGAGCTTAACCGCGGGCGGAACGTCGCCGCGATGGCACGATTGTCTTCGCCCCTCTTGTTCCTGCAAGCCCAGTGTACGTGTTGTTGT